ACCCCTTGCTTCGCTGTATCTCATTGACACAAAAAAAAACAAGTACTATAATAATGACCTCAAAAGGTGAGCAGCCGTATAGGAGCTCTATTTTTTGGGCTAAGAATATTGGGCTAAGAATTTTGGCTAACCGTTTGAAAAAAAAATATTTAAAAACAGGAGTTTAATAGTCGACCAACAAGATGGTTTATCAAAAACACAAACCAGAGGCAAATATAGCATTAGATGATTGCCTATCTCGGAAGTTTGATAATGAGGCAATACTGTTTAGTTTATACGACAGCATGTTTCAGTTTCGCAAAAACAAATCCCTACACAGCACTGCAAGAAAATGTCGATAAAGAGAAGAAAAAACTCTTGAAGCAAACGCACATCAAAAAATTGGAAGACTGCTTGAATAGATAATTCATATCGCCGATTAACGTTACGGTTACTGACTAAGAATCGGTAAGACAAGCGCTTGAATCAAGAGAATTGAACAATCATTTCTACAAAAAACACTAAATGCTGAAAATATAAGAACTAATGGATACCGTTGGACAATTAATCGGCAAAAAAAATTTAAAGGTATATTTTTTCTGAAAAGCTCCATAAATATGCGTCGGGCCAACTACCACATAGCCTACGTACCAGATTATAATACAATTTCTTAAATGAAATTCGGAACATATCGGTTCAAAAGGTTACAGCGTTTTACATGATCAAAACAACAGCTGCGGAATTCCTATAAATTTTGAATTATAATTTTTCCATGTTTTCTCAAGAATGTGATAATCAACTATTTACTAGAGGTAACAAGAGGCACGGAAAGAGAACATGAATCAGAAAAAAAGTACTCTACAAAAACACTTATGTTGGCGGTCATGTAGAGGGCCAAAATGTTCATAAAATTATTAGGTAATAACTGATCAAAAATGCTCGTATTGCTGTTAAATGGCAAAAATAAGAAAAGAAGCTGCGTTTAATTGACTAACAAAATGGTTGACTGCCTTACTTTCTTAAATTTTCAAGAAAAGTTCAAACCAGGATTCAAATAAGATTGATCGTGTCATACCGCTAAGTCCTCAAGGTATGAATTGCTAATTCCTGAATCCGTATGTAGATAAAGTCCTGCTTTTGCGAGAGAGAGAGGGAAGTTAAAACAACTATGTAATGTTAACGTTAATTCTCTTTCTGAACCGTAGTTCACTTTAACCGCGGTTCTCGTCCTCGCTATCAAGGTCAATCGACTAGTACACATTAACGTTACATAATATCAAAACATAATAAATGATATATAAAAACATAATAAGTTTTATGTGTCCATTAACGTACACATTAACGTTACATAAGTACAAATTAACGTTACATAATATCAAAACATAATAAATGATATATAATTACATAATAAGTTTTATCTATCCATGCTGGATGACATTCCCCCTCCTCGGGAAAAATTGTACAGTTTTAATGATTGAGTTTTTAGTCCCCGTGGGACTGCTAGTCCTGTCTTTCTACTTTTCGCCTCTTGTTTCCGCGGTATTGTTATCGAAGTTGTCGTCGCTTGTTCCGTCTTCTTCGTCGTTTTGTGGCTGTTTGCCTTCTTGTTCGTTCACTGCTGTGTTCTTCCTGTTCACGAATAATATGTCGTTGTTTTCCGTTGTTTCGTCTTCTACTTCTGTTGGGGATGTTAAGTCGGTTACGTTGCTTGTGGTGGTCGGTTTGTGTTTCGGGCTAATAGCCTCTATAAATTTTACACAAGCCTTGTATTCGGGGTTTTTTTCAGCAAAACCCATCTCCTGGATCAAGGATTTTAGACTTGGGTAGTCTTGCGATGATGATTTTTCTTGTGGGGAGTCGATTTCAGATAGCTTTTCCCCGGTTGCACTCGCGATCTGTATTGTGCTGATTGGGATGGAGTTACCTAGTGCTGTTGCTAGGGTCGCCTGTCTGTTTCTTGTCGATTTGCTTGTTGCGATTGCAAGTGGTGTGTTCTTTTGATTTTGTCGTTTTGGTGACGGTGAGATGGGATCCTCCGACGTGGACGACGAATCGTCATCTTTTTCTGGGCTTCTGTTGGTTTTCTTTTCTTCTTCGGTCTCAGTTTGTAGGCCCATCCCTCGTGGCGTCTGTAGTTTTCTTACTGGTTTTCCTCCAGTCCTTTTTCCTATCGCTTTGTTTGCCTTTCTTTTTGTGGGGCTGCTTTGGCTTGTGAACTGTGCTGTCATCTCCTGTCTTGTTAATTTGATCGGAAGCCCAGTTCTAGTTTAATTTCGTGGTTTGACTCGTCGTTTCCTTGTACATTGAGTATCCTGTGTGTTTGTTTTCCCTGAATTAATCTAACACCGGTGCGTGGTAGTAGATTCCGTCCTATGATATTTGCCTTGTAGTCATCCACTATGATGAACGGAGCTGTTTGTTTTTTCCATTCTCCCGACTCAATTGAGATTATCAGTCTACCTTTTGGGTTGATTGACTCGCCGTTATTGCATGCTAAATTTCTGGCAGTAACCTCAGGTGGGATATTTTTAAAAACTGCCGTTTGATCGTTTTGTTGTATTCGTTGAGCGGTTTTTTCGTTGAGGAAAGACACTGGGCTGCCCGAGTCAGCAATAGCGAATAGTTCCGTAGTGTTTGTCTTCAAATTAACAGTATGTCCATTTAAATCGTCTTCCGACAGTGTTTTACCGTTTTTTATTTCGAATGATTCTGATATCGCCATCACGGAGAATTTGTCTATTTGGTATTCTTCCCAACCATTGTTTGTGGCGAACTCAGCATATGCAACGGGGTCGTTAGCAGTTTCCATGCTCTCTATTTCTGTTTCCTCTTGCTGTTCTTCATTTGTGTTTGCTAAGTAATTTACTTTTGTAGAACGACAAACTTTTGCCAAGTGTCCGCGTTTTGCACATTTCGAGCAAATTTTGTCTTTTGCTGGACATGATTGTAGATGGTTGGGACCATATTGATTTCCACACTTATAAAATTGTCTTGAACTTGTGTTTCGTTGTTGATGTTGACCCCTTGTGTTTTGTGATCCACGTGGATACGGTCGGCGGCGGAAACCGCCCGACCTCTCTGATTGTTTTGATTGTTCTGCTGGTTTGGTCTACCACGTGTATTAATGTAATGTACCAGCTCTCGTTTTGGAACCACTGTTTGACCTCCGAATGGATTTATTTTCATTGTACGACTGTGTTCTATTCCTTTTTCTCGTCATATTGCGTACTGGTATGCCTCTTGTGAGCTACCTGTTTGTGCCAGCCATTTTTCTGCAATTTTTCCTTGTTCATGTGGGCGGTAAACATATCCCTTACCCACTCGCCGCAGTCAGCTTTTGATGCCAGTTCCACTAGATCAGCATGAAATTGTTCTAGACTTCTGCTTTCTTCTGTTTTCGACAGATAAAATTATAAGCTCTCAAAAGCTATTATGCGTGTCGTGACGAAAATATCTTCCAACATCGTCATGAATTCTTGTGTGTTTACTGTATGTAACTGTAAATTAGGTCGTTTTCGTTGTACTTGTCGCTGTCCTTCAGCGCCGAGACACATGAAAAGGTAGCTGCGCACTTTTGCGTCCGCTTCGTCCCATCTGAATGCGTTACACAGGACTCCTTTCTCACGTGGTTCTCCAAGCTCACTCTTTTTTCTTGATAACGTACGTCTCCGTTCTTTCTCTGAGCTTCCGTTTCGCCGGTCATCTCGACTTTGTATACTTGTTCGGATGGCTTTACTAGTTGTGGTTTTGCTCGTAGTAGATTTCGGATTTCGATGCCATCTTTTGCGAATACTGCCATTTCCATTATTGCCGCCCATTTTGTCCACTCTTATGGTGGATCGGCCGATGCTCTTTCCCAAAATGGGTTTATGTTTAGCGGGTTTTTCGAAAATCCTGGTGGTTGCGCCATGTCATACCTCTAAGTCCTCAAGGTATGAATTGCTAATTTCTGAATCCGTATGGATAGATAATGTCGGGCTCTTGAGAGAGAGAGAGAGAGAGAGAGAGAGAGAAGTTAAAACAACTATGTAATGTTAACGTTAATTCTCTTTCTGAACCGTAGTTCACTTTAGCCGCCGTTCTCGTGCTCGCTATCAAGGTCAATCGGCCAGTACACATTAACGTTACTTAATATCAAAACTTAAATGATGTAAAAATACAAAATAAGTTTTATGTGGAGTTTTATCTATCCATGCCGGATGACAGGTCGATTGCCTGTCTTGGAATCCTTAAAGCGAGGCGTGTTCGATTTGTAGGTACGTCAACTTTTTCACTTAGCAAAAACTTTGAATTCATAACCTCCTAACATACCAGGGGAACTGCAAAAAGCGAACTTCCGAAAGCAATTTCGTGCAGTAGTCGGACCAAAAAACTTCATAAAACCTGAGAAAAACGTCAACTGCGAAATTTCTATTCTCTGGGATTTAAAGACCGCGCCATTACCGTATTATTTACATAAGGGGTGTTACTACTTTTGTGAGGAAAGGGAGGCTAAAAAAATGGAAGAGCCCAATTTTTTTATATTCCTAGCGACTAAAACACGTTCGCTTTTGATTACCCGAGTCGAGATTTTTCACCTAATTTGAAGCAAGATTTGAGCGGTTTGAGCGGTTTTTTTAGACAATTACGCTCAAAATCTTGCTTCAAAATGAGCGGTTTGAGCGGTTTTTGAACGGTCTTATCTAAAAAAAAACGCTCAAAAACCGCGCAAGATTTGAACGGTTTTGAGCGGTTTATCTAAAAAAAACGCTCAAAAACCGCTCAAATCTTAGTTTCAACAATGGAAAAATTGCAAACTTGGTTCGAGAAATTCGGCTATAATTTTCAGCAGCTTGTCCAAATCTCGGCAAATCAGTCGATACCTAAGTCAAGCGGGAATACTTTCGGCTGCTAAAGTTTACCTGGACTGATAATACTTAGAGAAAAACGTATTTGAAATGACAAAATTGTAAAATTAGAAATTGTACGGTGGATCTGCTCTTGGACCGTTATGCTGTTTTACCGGCAATAAAAAATACAAGAAAACACACGTGCGCTTTTTAACTTATGTTACGTCTGCTGAGACTGCTCTTTTTAACATATGTTTAACCATTGAGCCACCCGCAGCTTATGTATGACCGCAACAATGAGCTCCAATTTTGAATCTAATTATGACGAGAACAACAAACTTCTGCTTCGATCGGACACAATACCAAGAGAGGCATCGGCTCATTTCCAGTTCCCTCACCTTCCTGCTTGAAAACTATTTCAAAGGCGGTCTTGTTTCAGATATAACGGCCCCAAGTGGAGATGCAGGCTCTTTTTCTTTTTCCGCCCACCTGCGAATTTTCTCAAGTATGTGTTTTTCTGTTCACGTTGTCCAATTGTTACAAAAATTTAGCGTGCGAACTAATTTGGCTCTGAAAAAGATTTTGTAAAACCCTCTTTTTGCCAATAAATGGATGCTTATGTGAGATGGGTGATCAAAGAGCTAAAATGCACATTACTTTGCAATACACTTGTATCATTTTTTTGATTAATTTCAAAACAAAAAAGATTTGAGAATTATATCCATTTTTTGGGTTTTTATCCAAGTTTGAGCTGTATAAAACAGAACACATAAAAATTTAGATTCGGTATATGATAATATTTATGCAAATCTGTGAGGGATGGACGGGGAAAGATGGATAGAACACAAATCATATATCTAACTTTTTCAGATTAGGTATAGGTTTTTTTTGTACAAATCTGTGAAGCATTGGTATTGAGGGGGGAGGGGGGTAACTGGGAACGTGCTGTCTTTAAGGCGCCCTACTACTGCTTCGAATTCATCACCTACGACACAAAGCGAAGTTTCAACCTGTTTTACGAGCAATTTTTTCCCAAGCTTTCCCGCCTCTTCGCTCTGGGACTAAACCGGTCCTTATTCTTCACAAATGCGTCCAAGCAGCCTCTGGATCTGAAGTGCAGTTTTTTCGAGAAAAGGTTCTGGTGGGATTTCAACTATGACAAAATGGAGAGGTGTGGGGGCCAGCAGGAACTATTATTCGGAAAAGGCAAAAGAATAGGCCTTTTCAAGGTACCATTTTGCTTTCTGTAAGCTTTCCAAAAAAGAGCACGCCTTAAAATAGAGCAAGCGAGCAGGCTTACAACAGCCTAATTATGCTTGATTTAGGAAACTTAATTTTGAGCTAGTAACATTCGTTTTTTTCGAGTTTTTTAGCGCTTTATTCGGAACCAAAAACTTTTTGTTTTTCTAGCTATTTTTCTACAAAATTGTTTTTTCCAGTTTGCGTATTATTCTATGACCGTCGAATCGGAATTTTAATTATACGTCAGATCTTTTTATTACTCTACGCAGAAAAAAAACACAAATTCGAAAAAACACCTTGCTTGTTTTGGCTCTTTTTCCCACCTCACTCAAACATGAATTTTATGGTCTAACGAGTGGTTTTACAAGGTTAATTATGAAGACCAAATATGTTTGGCCCAGCCTAATTAGTTCGCATGTCAATTTTCATAACAATCGGACAATGTTAAAATTTGCAAGTGGGGGAAAAAGAAAAAGAGCCCTTGTTTTTAGTTTTCCGCGCAAAAACAGGTAACACGTGAAATTATCAGATTGTGTCGAGTGGCGTATTATATTAAAGCCCTTTCAGTCCTGATTCGAACGACATACAATTTTTGAAATTTGGAGAAAAATCTGTTTGAAATTTTAAAATTTGGGTCTAATAGCGAGCTAATAATGTGAGCGTGCAGGCTTACAATAGCTAATTTAAGCTTATTTTAAGCCGTGATATTTTAATTTTACTCAAGTAAAGTTCGTTTTTGGAGTTTTGAAGCGCCATTTGGGAAGCAAAAATTTCAAAAATTCAAAAAAAAATCTGCCAAAAAATTAGAAAAAAATTGAACTACACTAATTTTTTTAAATATTTTTTCAAGACTATCGTCGAGACGTTCTGCGTTACTTGCGCAGTAACCAGCTATCCTTGTTGTTATACGATACAAATATATAAGCTATACAAGTACGAGGACATTTTGTCTCCATATACAACCCATTAAAGTAATTTATACATAGTAAAATTGATATATGTTTACAAAAAACACATATGGACGGGGGATGGGCGCAATAAAAGAGCCCAATTTTTTATCAATTCCATGATAATTTTTATGTTTATGTCTCAGTTGGCCTTTTCCTCTTTAAACTCAACTGAAGTTGACAGTCTGGTACCGGGATTGAGAGCACTTGCTGTGACCGGGAACGAACGAGTACTCCTCATTTTCAACTCTTCTTCTGGCAACTTGGAGGACATCAAAGATAGATTGAAACCTCTGCTGGCTCATCCAAACAGCATTGGATGTGCCATATATGGAAGGCTGGATGATCTGCACCCAGAAAACCACTCTGAATCGTAAGTACCTATTTACTCTTTTTTTTGGGCTTTTTTCCAGTTTCTCAACAACAAAAACTGTCTCAAATTTGTTTTAAGTAATTTACATGCAAGCACATAAAATCATCAAAAGTCTTCAAATAAGCTTTCGCAAATCAATTTTTAGAAAAAAAACCAAGCGTGAAAGTGTCTTTTTTTTGCTTTTTTTGTCTCTCGTAATTCAATTTTCAAATTTATTTCTACATTGCCATTAAGTGATTGAAATTTGCCTGATCCTAAAATCAGTTTTTCAGAATACTTCATTATTACCTTGAGCAAAACATATCCTTTAACAATCATAGCGTCCTAAATCAATAAGAAAAATTTGGAAAAAGGGAAAAGAAGAAAAATTACTAGTTGATAAAATGAAAGTCTGATGATGCACCACAAAAAACTTCTTGTTTTTGCCGAAAAACAATGAATGGGACAATTTAAAACTTATTTATTTTAACTACAAAATCGAGTGTTCTAATGCAAACTTTGCATGTATTGGAACACCTCTCGCTATACTTCTCTTTATTGAATTTTTTTGTTGCTTTTACTTAGTTTTTGATTTTTGTTTAACTTCAGATGTGATTTCACTCCGTATGATCTGCACAGAAATTTTACCAACTCGTGAATACATATTTTTCTTAGTAAAAGTTGTCTTGTTGTCTTACCTGTTTAATTGATTCTTTTTCTTACTGTATGTTGTTTTTATGAGACCTTTCAGCAGCATATTCGGGTTATGCAATTTTGGATTATCACTTAATGCGGAAACAAGAACTCTATTATGTAAAATTAGCCGAACAAAAAGTTTATGTGCAAAAAGAAGCTGTTTTTTGGTCAAAGTCTATGAAAAAGCTTACAGTACCTCTATTTTTTTTTCAGAATACGTAAATTTTCATCAATAAATATTCGAAGATGTTTGAAAAATAAAGTTTTCTCTACTTTTTGCCCTGAGTTGTTTTATCTGTAGAAAATTCAACAGCTGAGTTTTTGTTTATCCAGTGTTCAGTGTTACTTTTTTTAATAATCATAATAATAATAAATAATAAACTGTTTCCAAACGATATCAAGTTACAAAGTTGTTCATAAAAATTTATAAATACAAATTAGCATCGTTTGGGAGAACACCATTAAGCCAACAAGTCCCGTTTTCAGGTGTCTCATTAAGCGGAGAACAAAAAAAGTACATAAATTTTTTGATCCAATGCAATGGATTTTCCACCGGTAACCATTTTTTAAACGTAAAACCTCTTTATTCGCACCTTTAAACCATTTTCTATTAAAAAAAATTAATTTAGTTTTCCCAGGTAGTTTTTTCTACCCATAACTTAGAAACCAACAGAAACACGTTCTACTTATTGATTAATAAAAAGTCTCAAAGCATGCCCAGTAAAATTGTATTTCCCAGAATGTAATTATCTAAAAACTTATGATTAAAACTATTTAATTGAAACCGAGAAGCCCCTTTCAAGAAATTGACCAAGGCGGGAAAAAATTTATTACAAAGTTGAACATTTTTCTAATTTTAGGTGTAATCGATCCTCTGTTGAGTTTATTTCTGTTTATAGCTAACTTTTGATTTGTTTTTTGCTTTGAAAATATTATGTTCAATTCTTGTTTAGTAATAGAATATCTCAAGGTTTCAACTTGACACTCTTTTCGAATAATTTTTCTGGTTAATTTCAGAAGTTCGTAAGCAAAAAGTTCTCTTTCGATATATATTTTATTATCATGCATTATTTCAGTAATTGAATCCATCCTGTGATTATGAAAAAATTATTCTGGTTAGCCTTCTGATTTTCATTTCCAGTTCTAACAGTTTGGTTTTGTCGGTTTTTGCATAAACTAAAACTCCATATTGGATGATTGGTTGCACGTAACTTTTATACGCAAATATTAATTGCCGTCCAGTTAGAAACTTTCTCAATTGAAAAAACACATAACAGAATTGCAAAACTTTGTTCTTTACCTTATCAATACGCTGATGAAAATTCAATTTACAGTCAAGGAGAATTCCAAGATATTTAAAACATTCAACATTTTTTATTTGGGTTTCATTTAAAAAAGAATTTACTGGTCGTTCTTCAGTTTTCGTGCTCCGACAGTATATCATGGTCTTGGTGTTTTTGACATTCAGTGTCAATTTGTTCTTGTCTAACCAATCATTTACTTCAAGCAAAGCTGATCTATGTGCAAAAGCAATATACTTTTTGTTGTTTGTGGATTTCAGAACAGTGTCATCAGCATACAAAAGTACCCCTGTGTTTTTTGTGGCTATTTGTAGATCGTTTATGCATAATATGAGCAAAAGTGGGCCAAGGATAGATGCTTGAGGTACACCAAAAGATACCAGTTTAAGTTCGGTCTTAAAAGAGTTAGTTTCAATGTACTGATAGCGATTGTCAAGGTAAGATTCCAAGAGAATTAAGACAGGCCCTCTGAATCCCATTTGTTCCAATTTTTTTTAACAGATTAGAGTGATCAACTGTGCCAAAAGCCTTTGTTAGATCTAGAAACGTATTCTGAACAGTTAGTTTTTTGTTCGTTAGCGATGTTGAAACTTCTTCCAACAATTTAAGGATACTTTGGTTTTTTTTTTTGGTGTCCTGCTTTTAGACTATTTTATGAGAACGTTATCTGAATAACTGTATCATCCACATAAAAAAAACAACATGCAAAATGCACATTCTAGTAAAGCATGAGAGCCTTCAAAGTTTTGTAACGCTACAATTATCTTCTCATTACTCAGTAAAACTGATGCTGATATTTGCCTGGGCACGGGGGACGGCAGAAGATCCAAAATCTGTAGCCGCTTCCTCAAGCATTTTTTTGTGATAATGATCAAAGCCGCATCAGTGAACTTTGGGCTCTATCAAGCTGTTTAAAGCTGAATTCTGATCGGCTTACCCAGGGGAGTATCTACGATTTTTCTCGAGGGGGAGCGGATTTTTTTGAATGAAGTGAAAATTTTTGAAAAATTGGACAAAAAAAGGCGTCTTGAAGCACTTTTTCGAAAATTTTGACCAAAATTTTGCATTTTTTCGGCGCACCTACCTACTCAAAATTACTTTATTGGCGCTGAAGGCGCCCTTAGAAAAAATTTAGGGTCCGTCACCAAAAATGGATATCTCAAAATAGTACAAAGGGGGACTGTTTGGGTCGGCAGGGGGTTGAATCCCTAAGGGGAGGAGAGCATCCGCCATCCCTCGCCCCTGGGCATGCCCCTTTTGACTATTTACTTTGTCCTACGGCATGAGTGAGTCCTTCTGCCGAACAGGCCAGCGAGGATGTTTTTACAGATTCACCGCGAACAGTATATTTGTTCTTTTTCCAATTCCAATTTTTTCAAAATTTGTGTTTTAATAGCTGTTTTAAGCGAGCTATTGTTCCAAGTTCGAAAAAAATGAGGAATATATATGCTTGGAGTGTTTTTTATTCAGACTAATTTCCCCCAAAAAAAAAACATTTGCTGAGTGAGAGGATCAAAAGCGACATTTGGTCGGAAGCGACAGTCGCAGTTTTTCAAATAACTGGCAACTCTCGCCCTAGGCTATTGTTCGGACCAGCCGACAAGTTGTTACAGTAGGTTGAGTGTTATACACTAATTCATTGTTTCATCCTCTCGTGCTGAATGCACCCAGCCCAGAAAGTGAAGCAAAAAAACTAGTTGTAGATCTTAACTAGATGCACAAACGCGGTTCTCCGCGAAGAGCTGAACAGCTAGTGTTGGTCCTTTCCCTTGTATGTGAATCGTAGTTGTCGCACTCTACGATTGTTAGTTTTTCTAATTATTAATAGTTGTGGCTTTCGACCGGTTGTCGCTTTCAATGACGAATATTTTGCATTGAGCATTTCTTAGTACAACGTGAAATCAAACGTTTCTCAGAAATGAAAACTAACTTCGAAAACAGGAATTTGACCGTTTTAGCGACGCTGGTTGGGTGGTGGAAGTTCTCTTCTCCAAAGGCGGAATTGTGGGATGTGGAAAAGCACTGATGGCCTTGAAGAAAGGGGGATCGAACGGGGGCAAAAACGCAGTTCAATGGGGAGTGTTCAATGAAGAGAGATTTCTGCCGGTGGAATATCAATGTGACATGCGATATCCTTCCATAATAGGAAGGCTACATGGCTACTAAGAGACAAAGAATTCAAAATATGTCGTAAAGTCTTAAAATTAGATTAATGAGATTTCGAAGTTTTTGCTGTGGTTTAAAAGAAAACATTTTGTTCGTTTTATAATAACAAGCAAATGTAAAAACATCAGTTTAATCAGATTATTTAGTAGCGGATTTTCACGGGGGGGGGGGGGGGGGGGGGGGATGGTGGCGCCTTCCTTCCCCGAGGATTTCGACCGCCTGACTACCCAAAGGTACTACCTTTAAAACCTCAATTTTTGGCTGGCTGACCCTACAATTTTTCTAAAGGCGCTTTAGGCGCCAATATATACTTCTTTGAGGAGCGTGCGCCAAAAAGAAACAAAATTTTTGGTTAGAATTGTCCAAAAAGCACCTGAAAGCCTCTTTGGCCTTCAAGAAGTCGCCTGCTGCGCGAATAATGCGGTCAAAATAGGGTCTTTTATTTGCTTTGGGAAGCTCGGAAAAGCAACTTGATCGACCTAAAAAGCAGGTCGACAAATTTTTTGAAATATTTTTCGAATTTATGTCCTCGAGAAAGCCCTAGATCGCCCCTGAGATAAATATTGAAAGCTGATTGGGGATTATCTCCTCGCCCTGATTTAACTTCATCCGAAAAACGAAAAGATTCAGGCCAGTGTTTCTCAGCACTGAAAAGTTTTGTTAAGTTCAAATGTTTTTTGAGTTTTTGAGGTACCCGAGACTTTGTTTTTGAGTCTTTGAAGTACCTAAAATCGTGCTTTAATTGTTTGTTGAGCCTTTGTGGTAGTAAAAACGCAAATTTTTGAGTGTTTTTTGTGCCTTTGTGGTACCTGAAATCGCGCTGAAAAAGCAAGCTATACACATAAATTCATTTCCACTCCACAAGTAATCGGCACAACAACCTACGCAAAATTTTACCCATGTAAGTTTCCAGATACTGCTAGTTGAAAAATTGATCTGTTTTTTAACGGATCTGCGTAGCGAAATATTAATCGATAGAAAAATTGATCTGTTTTTTAGCGGATCTGCGTTGCGAATTATAAATCAATATATTAATTAATTCTTAGGATATTTTTTATATATTAGAGACTCCATATAGTTTATTATACATCGATAGTGGGGAAAAATATATTAGTTTGATAGATAAATCCAGACCTGTATATAAAGAAAGATAAGCAACCCAAAAACCAGAATTGAAGAACCTATTCTGAGTTTTCAGCTTGAATTACATCAACTGCAACTTCCAGTTTCTCGACGCCTTCCAGAACATTCTCCTCAAAGTCATCAGTCGAGCCTGACAAATCGGTTGCGTAATCGATTATATCATAACACAGAGCTTTGATCTCCTCTTTGGTATCTTTTGCGTCTCGTTGCGACTCGTAAGTTGACTGATTGTCTTCTTCCACCATGTTAAACATGTCTCGGCCAGCCGTTATGATGTTCTCGGCATTCTCCAGAAACGACTCGGAAATATCTGCGAAGTCTTTGGCCGAGCAGTCGAGAAGGCAGTCGAGGTCTTTCACGTCGTCCTTTGTATCATCAACCGAGCTTGGCTCAGTTAATTCTGTTTCGATTATTGCTAATTTGTCTCGAATCTGATCGTCGCTTTTGTTGTTTTTCTCAATGCAATCATCTGCCAAATTGATTATTCCTGTAGCCTATTCCAAAACAGAGGAGTTTGGTACAAGTATGATATTTGGGTCTCTAAAATATAGTCGGGTTCCTTGAGAAAAAATATTTAGCTTTTCGGAACACTTTTTGCATTCGTTGACTTGAATTTTTGAGCTTTTTCTTGAAAATATGGACATATTTATCTTTCATACTTGCTTTTTTCTTAGACCCAACTATCAATCGTACTTTTACCGATGTTTTTATGTTTAAACGTATTTTGATCACAAAAAGGCCGTTTCAGTTAGCTGTCTGTACGTCGGTCTCATTACCTATTTTCGATCAGATAGGATTGTGCTGCTGCATAGTCCAATATTGCATCAAATTCGTTCTCTTATTGCTCTGACCCTTCGAAAAATATGGAGGAACTTTGTATTCGGGTGTGTTTTAGTTTTGTACTTTTTCTCTTTTTTCCACAAAAATCAGGTCACACAAATAATCATTTGAATGGGTAGAGTGATAAGCAAAAATAAAGCCCTTTCATTCGTGATTCGAACGACATTAAAATTTTTATTACGTTTTCGAAGTATCGAGAAAACTGGTTTAACTTTTTTGATTTTGATTTCAATGTTGCGAGTGAGCAGGCTAACAATAGCGTAATTATGCTTAATTAGGGCCCTGAAAACTTAATTTTTAGCTATTTAAATTAATTTTTGAAGTTTTGAGGGCCATTTTTGGAACCAAAAACTCGAAAAAAAATTCTATATTTTTTCTGCAGAAAAATCGTGAATTTTTTTCCTTTTTTTTGATTTTTTGCTCTTCTAGTCAATTACAACAAAATCTTGTGTTTAATTTGCCTATATTATTATGACTGTCTAAAATGCTTAAAATACAGTCTAGCGTCAGGTCCCTTTATCACGCCACGCAAAAAAAAAAACTTTTGGATCATTCTGTGCTACTTGCACACTAATAGGCTAACCTTGCTTTTTTTCGTATATAAATGGTAAAATATCTGTTTTGCGAGGTCGGAACTGAGATCAGAAAGCAAGTCTCTCTGCTTAGAACTTTATAATACTAACAAGAATAGCCCGTTGCTGTACAGCAAGCACAGAATGTTAGGATGTTTTATTAGGATCTTTTCTTCTCATTCAAATGTCTTAAGCGAGGTGTGATGAAAGAACTATATAAACGTGTAGAACAACAGTAATATAAGGATAATCGACAACAGTTGTCCTCAAAAAATGAACAACCTTTCCTTATGTTTTTTGCACAATGATTTTTTCAACTTTTTTAAGAAAGCTGTTACAGCCAATGAAGCGCTAAATGATATTATTTTTCGTAAGTAATATTAACTTTTTTGCCGAAAAGTTTCTTTTTTTATGAGTGTTCGAATTTAGACTCGCATGAGATGAGACTCGCTTAAGTCGATCAAAATTTGACGAAAACTCAAAAGATTCAGGCCGGTTTTTCTCAACACTGGGATCATTTCTAGAATATTCCACAATTTTGTTCAACCCATCCCTATAACTATTTGTGGTAGCCTAAAATGAAAAAAAACTAAAACACACCCAAATAAACATGGTTTCTTTTCATTTTCAAAGGTTGTAGCTATGGGTCTTGTTAGATGGATCATGATTGACAAGTTCAAACATTTTATCTGACAATATTTTCAGTAAAATTTGATATGGAGCAAAAAGCCAAAATTACAAAATTTTTAAAGCCAAAATTTACAGAGCTTGCGTTACAGTATGAAATCTTTTTTTTCCAACCTAAGTCGCAAATATTGTTACGACGCAAATATTGTTGCGACAAAATATGTTCAATTTGATCAATATCCAGCTATTAAGTACAGCCAATGTTGAGGATATTAAGACAGACTATTACATTACAAATAGAACTTTAGCTTCAAGGTATCATGGACCTGTAGAGTAGAGGTAGGTAAGGAGACCCGCTATAAAAGAAGAGGATTCGAACCCTGCATGGTCGGCTGTTTTTAAGGATTTTTTTGTATACTAGTTAAAATACGTCCGCTCTACAATTTGAGGCATGTTAGCTGGGAATTTTGTAGGCTCAAAGTTGTTTTACTCACTCAGTTTTTCCCAGTAGCGTTATTGGTCATATTTTGCATGTGCATGCGATGTGCAGCTTTCTTTCTGTGTAAAAATATTAAATCAGTTTACAGACGACATTAATAGCAAAACAAAATTTTCATGAAAATATTTTTGTACTGTGCCTAAAGCTAGAACTGATTTTCTCAAAAATCGCAGATTCATAAACTATGCTTCAATTTTGAAAAAGCAATATATTTTAGTCAATTAGGTGGAATTTGAAACAAACTGCAAAAAAAATCGTGAGATTATCTAAACGATCTGATTTGAAGATGGATTTTTGCTTGCATTATTCTTATAGCAGTAGAAAAGACGTCAACCATATTTAACATTCAACAAAAAACCAGTTAGTCTTAGAAAAACTTATTGGAAGTGTGTGGTTGTATGTTAAAATTTTTATCTGCATATATTTTGTCTTGATTTGGCTTTTTATCTTTTCGTAATTTTTTTAGTCTAATTTCATTAATTATTCCCTCCATAGCAAAAAGGAGTGAACGTTTGACTAGCATAAAAAACAACGGGCAAAAATACTGAAAATGTATCAATGAGCCCATTTCTTTTAAATTTTGGTTTAATGTTTCGTAAGAGATGCGAACAACTATAGTCAGATGTTAAGACATTTTTTTGAAATACCAGTATCTGAGAAGTATAAGCAAGTCGAAAAGTGAGTCATGTGAATGAAATGTGCATGATTTTGTTAACTGTGACATAATTGTTAAATAACTATTATGCAAGAGCTACGTATTTTCCGCTGATTTAAATGGTAGCTGGTTTGTCTACCACTGTCTGAATCTGTAACCTGTGAGATGATGTAGTCGATGGACACGTGTACTTCAGGGGTGACCAAGGGACTGGTGATGGTGATCTCGTCGTAGCCATCACTCGCCTGCAGCACGATCTCCTCTGCCTTCTTCTTCACCTATCACATCACCAGAAAAAGTATATGCTGGAGAAAGAAAGTAACGCAACCAAACAGTTTGTTAGGACTTTTCAAATTTCTTTGAAGAGAGCCTTTAAACATGAAATCTTTTCTATATATAAGTTTAAAAAAAACAAATTTGACCATAACTGAAAATGTTCGATCACATATAGTTTGCAAAAAATTAACTTTTAAGACGTTGAAACTTGATTCAGATAACAAATTGGTGGAATTTGTTAGTCTAAGGTGAGTTTTTGTGCACAGTAGTGCAAAAAAGTTTGAAAAAGTGTAGCTTACAGCTACAAATCAAAATGTCAAAAAAGGTAGTTTTTCAGAAATGAAAATAGTGCTTTGGGTTTAATTTTATCTTTTCGTACCAAAAAAAAACCTTTTTACTTGGGATGAACAATTGCCTCAATCAAAGCCAAATTAATAGCTACTACCCTAAAGATAACTGAAAAAGATTTTTGTACTATAGGAAATGTTTTTTTTTCAACTTAACTCGATGCGTTACTTCTTTCAGCAGTATATTATAGTTTTGCATGAAAAGCAAACTGAGCGTGTCAGAAAACTCACCTTGCCATGAAGTGTTGTCTTTCATGATTTACAGTCTCTTATAAGCTTTACAACCTCAAAAAAATTTGGTTTTTCTTTTTTTTTTCGTTTTCGAGGTGTCATCATAAGCAAACATTGGCGCGGTAGATATCCTAACTAATGAGTTATTGTCATCAACTTAGGCCCAATGCAAAACCCTTTATCGTTGCAAAAATGACCACATGTGATACACTTTTTAATTTTAAGCCCAAAACATCAATATCTTTCAAACTTTATTGCTGGTTTGAGTGCCGAAAAATGACTGGTAAAAAAACCCCCAACACAGATACTCCGTCACTTTCTTCGAAAGTCGGAACAACTAGATTGCCTTTACGCAACTAAAACCGATTTTTGAGTCGGACTTTATCACTGATCGCGCTTTAAGACCAACATTTGTTGCGTTTTGAGTATGCAAAAAAGGCCTGAACATTTCGAACCCCAAAATGTGCAAAAACTTGTCATAGAAAAAAAACTCATTCTTACATGCTCACCGAGATTTGGAACAATTATCAAAAAAAATTGCCACCATATTTATGAACAAAAAAAACTTGCCCGCAAAGAATCTTTTTTGTTGTTATCTTTATCTTTATGTGCCTTTGAAAGTCTATGGAAATTCGTTTTGTAGCGCATTTCTCAAACTTCTTTGTTCTGACTTATATTATCTTACAAGTGCTAAGGAACTTTGATTTGGGCGCTCAAAACAATTACGGTTTTTTCAGAAACCTTTTAATGTAGGCAGATGGATTACCTTGTCACAAAGTCGTGTTCTCTCGTCTCGTTCTTTTTCTGACTCGTAAGCTATCTCGACCGAGGCATCCTCGGCATCTTCGATCACAATATCCATTGAAGTGCTCTCACAAATGATGGGAGCTAACGACAACACAGCCACGACGAATAGGGCTAGTCTAAAAGACATCTCTGAAACACAAAACTAGGACACTAGAATTCTGGCTCGCTTGATACAATACATCAAAATTGAAGGATAAACTACAGTTTCAAGAAGCTTTTGCTTTTTGATTACTTATTTCTGTGGAAAAAAATGAAGTATATCTGATAAATATATGAGGCAAATTTCAATACAAAAGTATGGGTATTTTCGAAATCTCCTAAAACCGCTTGCTATAATTGTGTCATTCTGCTTAAAATATACGCTGAAATACTTACTTCAAAATCAAGCAGATGACTTATTTTTTCCTTGAGCACTTCGTTTTTATATAATTGCTTTGGAAATGACTATGTGGAAGTTTGGTGTTTATATATGAATTATGGAATCCAAACAAGAAACAAATTGCGTCTTAGAAATGGATCAGCGATCACAAGGACTTGAATCTTCAGCATCTCATTCTCATAACATTTTTTATAACTTTTGTGGTCATTTTAGATACATTTTTCACTACAGCATAACTACACATCAATTAACCATGTTTACATAACACGAAAACTATAGAAAGTGGAGATCCCTGGAAAGTCGACAGCCTGTTGTGATGGAAAATGCCCTGTCCCAGTGTTTTTCGATCTACAAACATATAGCGAACTGTTATTGTGTTTATTTGCCATTTAAGCTATACTTAAACATTGACTACCTTACTGTATATAAACCAATGGAAACAAGAATAATATTTGGAAAAAAAGTATGTGCGTATGGCTGCCCGGACTGACGTTCATTTAAGAAAAAAACCTATCATGCAATTTCATATATAATGAGATCTATGGAAAAAAAAACTATAAAAACGATTACCATAAAAAGAAACTTTATGACCCGCATTATTTCAATCGAAGTTTTTGAAATTTATATCAAATGATTTTAAAACTCAAACAAAACAAAATTGTGGCACTTTTTGTTATATCAGAAGAACATTGGCAACAAAAAATAGTTTGTCACATAATTTTCATTCCAGAAAAAGAAATGATATCCATTTTTTCACATAGTAAATGTAAAATTTTTTTGCCCGTTGATTTTTTTTCCCGTTTTTTATTGTCAACTCGCTTCTATGCTCAATTAAAAATTTAACGAAAAAAAAAATTTTGCCTAAAAATTTGATATGTATTTGTCTATAAGACAGTCCAGGCTGAATTTTCTACCAAAAAACAAATCCAGAAAACTTAAGCAAAAATTGTCAGACGCAATATAAAAAAACCGATGATCAAGATGATCAAACGTTTTTTACTGTCTTTATATGCTAAGACTAACCTAGATCTGTCAGACAAAAGGCAATATTTTTCAACCACTGAGTTTCGCTGAACAAAAACCAATTTTTTTTTAAAAAGTTTCGAACAAAAAAGGATTATCATACATTTTCATAGCATGGAAAAACTGCGTGTCATACAGCTTTATAGTATTCTTTTGTGTATGCAATTTTCATAAAAGTTTTATTGAAAAAAAGTATGGCAAAAACCATGTTATTTCTTTACAGATTGAAAAAAAATTGCTTACTTTGCTTTTTTTGTACTTTCTTATGAAACTGTAGAAATTACAGTGAATTAATCATCGAGTATACGCTCCTCAGGTGTTTTTTGTTCAAAACAAGAGTTAGCTCTTTACTTCACGCGCTTCGCAAACTTCTCGAAAATTTTATCGCATCATAACTGTCTGAAAATTTTTCAAGCCGCCATCGATACTACTCTTAGTAGGCTTGGCTAAGTAGGCATGGCGGCAAAAATCAGAGAAAATGGCATCTGATTTATCAAGATATTACTTAAGTAGGGACAAAATTTTAGTGCCATTGTACACTCTAGACCAAGCGGCACTGAAAACAGAGAAAATTTTCATCTCCACAAGTAATGTCAACTTAAACATTGTCAAAGATATCATGTCTATGTGAAAATCTTGAAATAAAAGTTTTAAAAAGAAAAATAAGGAGCTCCACTTGCCCACATTCTTCAATCTCAAGACTCTTCTTTCGCTTAGGCGCTAGAATCACCGCATTACTACCCTGAAGCTTAACCGTTTATCACCGAACAACCACAGAGCCATAATAAATTGCTTGCAAGCTGAGGCCTTAAAACGACAAGAGACTCCGTCTTGCAAAATGTTGTCATACTATTGTTGATTTGTTTATCTCTCAAATTAGGCCATCATCAAGTTTATTTCAATTTTAGTAAATTTCCATGATATGAAGTTAATCATTTGAAAATTGGAAGAATAGTACTAAAATGAAATGAAATGTCTCAGAGTACCTAGAAAGCCAGATCTTTACTCAAAATTTGAAATCAATATCACAAAACGCCAATGCTTTGTACAGAAAGCGGTTGAGAAAAATCATGAGCTAATTACTGGATTACTGTGGCCGTTAAATGTGAAAACCGAAATAGATTTGTATCTGCACATGGTGTGTGGCTTCAATAACTGACTCTGAAAAACGATACTGTTTTGCATACAAAAGCAAATGTCTCTGACCCAGCCGAGAAGCACGAGGCAGATAACGTCTCTAAATCTCCTCATCCGCAAATCTAAGTTGACTAGCAGATTTGTCGGCACATGGCCGGCCACCCGATTCCAGCCCTTCAGTATCTTCCTACTTTGCCAAATGCGCTCGTCTTCTAGGAATCGAGCAACTCATTTCATTTGTGATTACAAAAGAGGTTATAGTGGAGAGCATCAGTCCTAAAACGTTTATGACAGATCCTATAACGTTATGGACAGAACGACTTCTTCTTTTAAAAAATGTTCACTTATTTCTATTAGGTGTTTGCTTCTGAAAATCTTTCGTTTAAAAACTTCCATATTATCCTTAATACTCAGTTTTGAGGCCAATTTCTTTCTCGATTGCTATATCCGGCTCTGGTCGATTTACAAGTCTATTTGTCCGAAATAACAATTGAAAACTTAGTGTTTCCGCTTTAAGAAATGAAAACTCAAAACAAAGATCTATGCTTCTTGCTCGTAATGTAGTTTTCCCAGACAGACCAAGTTACTTTTGCTGATCAGAATTCGGGCTAGAAACTATCATTGAGCTTGAGGAAAGTGGGTGAGTGAATGATGTTTACTAGACGCAATTCAATCACATACATACTTTTGCAAATCCAGTAATCCAGCAAATCGCTCTTTTGAAATCGATTCAATTGAATTTGATCATTTCGAGATATTCAATTGACAAAAAAACTGATAAACAAGAAAACAAGAAAAAATAGATAAGCAGAAAAAAATTGAATAAAATTAAAAGACCAGCAGTACCGACTGAAGATCTACCAGCTAGAAGAAAAAAAATCAGAATTAGAGAAATGAGAAGAAGTTCGATTAATATGAAGTGAATGTTTTTGAATTGGAACACAAGCTGTCGGACATGACGGAAAAGAATGGTTTAACATAAGTCAGTCCGCGTCATTTTTTGAATTGGAGGAGAAACTGTCGGATATGAGGGGCGAGAATAGTTTACCAGAAGTCGGTCCGCAGCTTGTTGCCAAACATAAACATCTTAGACTTGACTGGGCTTTTAGTATGGTTGAATGTTTATCGAATCCTACTGCAGTTTCTAGTCAATCACAAGAAGTAAATCTGGTCAGCCCAGAAGAAAATCAGATTGCAATCACTTTTACTTTTTAAAAGCAAATTTTACAAAAAAATGAATACTGGTCAAACGGCAACCAAACATTCGTAACTGTTTTTTTAGAGGATCCGGTGTCTTAAATACTGCAAGTTCAAGCACAGTCATGTAAGTTGTTCCTTATAGTTAGTCTCTCTAACAAAATTTGGCACTTTTGCTGCAAGTTTTGCACCGTTCATTTCTGCATTAAACGTACCTCAACCTGAGACCCTACCGGTGAATTTAGACTTGCATAGGCCCATGACTGCTGGCTACCAAATGCCTGTAACCCTATCACAAGCGGTTTTAAGTGTAGCAGCTGGCAGTTCGAACTTTTGGATTGAAAATCAAAATCATTATAGCCATTTAGCAAGGCCAGCTGTTACTGCTGCATTGATGGCACCTTCAAAAGACCTTGCTGCACATTAATGTGTTAATCCGTTCAATACCCTAGTCCCTATACTTGCTCAGCCCTTTACGCAGATTCATGCAAAGCCAGTGCAGTTAATCATTGCTTTTAATCAAGTTACCATCAAGTTTTTCATCAAGTTAATCTTAATCAGTCCTGCGGAGCGTCATTTGAGCATCCACTAATATTAGGGGAGTTGGTATAAATGTTTATGCATAGCCGCAAGAAACATATAAGTGAATGGAAGCTTACGCAGTTTAATCATAATCCTTTTAGCTGGCATCAAGGATTTGGCCAGTTCAAGTCGTCAGTTGAGTCAGCCACGCTCAGTGATGATGAAACCTTCACAGGTTTGAAAATTTTGTTGTGGATACTGGCAAATTCTGACTCGCCGGAATTAACTAGAAGAGAACTTTATGTAGAGATGATTTAAAATCTTCATGGAAACATTGGGCAGCCCATGTTGTAGTAGGAGTGAGTCTGGTTAAATGGACTAATTTTTCAATTCTGAAAAGTCACAACTGATATATTTTGCAACGTTTTTCTTCAAAATTTTTTGGACTAGTCGCTATTGTCAAATCTTTGCTTTACGCCATGACTACGAACTTTCAAACCTAAGCCAAGCCTTCAGCAAGTTTCCTACAATTATTTCCAACACCAAAGGAGGAGAGCTATGAGAGGTTCAAATTGCCTAACTCTAAAAAAAAATTCAGGACACTGTCGAGTTGAAAAGAGCCACTACGTTGGTTGCAAGTAATACTAAGTAAGTGTCAAAACTAGAAAAATACGAAGTTTTCTCCTTGTTTTTTATGTAAAGGACAACATGATCATTAGCACTGTAATGTTTCTAAAGAAAAGATTGCCACACAACAACCAAGTATGTCGCTAAACATACACTTTTTTTTATTGTTTCCAGGGCAACCATAACTTCGAAAAATGCCCAAAATCTAGAAAAAGATTGAAACCTTTAAAACACAAAATGTGAAAGCACTCACAAGGTACTTCTTCACGTACTTCCGTATGAAACTTTTTCTCACCCAGTTGGGTACAAAAGACTTTTCGTAACCAAGAGATGCAATCACCAAAAATGTGTCCATAATGAGGCCATCGGTGATGTCATTAGATGCTGAGGAATCAACCAAAGTTCTCTATCTAATTGCATCACTTGCCAGAAAATCCAGGTAGTCAATTGCAAGTTCTCTGTTATAGTGATTCCATGCGTTCTTGGCTATCCGCTGCTCTGGTAAAACCCTGTAAATTGGTTGGCATCTCCGTTTTTATCACCACAAAAAAAATCAATTCTGCTACAGTGTCAAAAAGTCATCTAAAGAGATTTTAAGTTTCTGCAGAAGCTCGTGTTAT